CGCGCGAGGGGGGGGAGGCCCAAACCAGATTTTTAGCGTCTCCTGGGCGCGTTGTCTGAATTGCTGGGGGGGCTCGAAATCGACACCCCTCACGCAGATCCGCGGGGTCAGGGTCCAAAAACACAGGGATTTGCCACATTTCTGAAATTCGGTGCCACCCCTCACGCAGATCCGCGGGGTCAGGGTCCAAAAACACATGGGATTTGCCACATTTCTGAAATTCGGTGCCACCCCTCACGCAGATCCGCGGGGTCAGGGTCCAAAAACACATGGGATTTGCCACATTTCTGAAATTCGGTGCCACCCCTCACGCAGATCCGCGGGGTCAGGGTCCAAAAACACAGGGATTTGCCACATTTCTGAAATTCGGTGCCACCCCTCACGCAGATCCGCGGGGTCAGGGTCCAAAAACACAGGGGATTTGCCACATTTCTGAAATTCGGTGCCACCCCTCACGCAGATCCGCGGGGTCAGGGTCCAAAAACACAAGGGATTTGCCACATTTCTGAAATTCGGTGCCACCCCTCACGCAGATCCGCGGGGTCAGGGTCCAAAAACAAAGGGGATTTGCCACATTTCTGAAATTCGGTGCCACCCCTCACGCAGATCCGCGGGGTCAGGGTCCAAAAACACAGGGGATTTGCCACATTTCTGAAATTCGGTGCCACCCTTCACGCACATCCATCGCAAGGCGTGGTAACCCAAACTGCGAGAACTCCCTCGGCCCTTTAATCGCAAGGTGTGGTAACCAAGCCCGTAAACCATACACGTCTTACCAATCGCCAGGTGTGGTAACCCCTCTTGTGATCAGTTGGTTTTGCTGATTGCGAATCGGCTTCGCATGAAGTTTCGATACTGCTTCACGACAGCGCCAAGGCCTCATGACTTAGCTCTTACATGGCCCATTCTCCGAGAGAGGGGGCCGGCGGCAGGGGGCGAAGCCCTTACGGATTATCCAGAAGCCCTGGCCCCCCGCTAGAGCCCAAAGCTTCCGCAACACATTCCCGCAAGCCTGGACCTCCGGCGAAAAGTTTGCGAGAGTCCTGATCCCCCGCGAACAAATCGCCAAAATCCTGCCACCCGCGAAAAAATCAAAAGTTCCCCAGGCCCCGGCGAGAAAATCACGGGGGCCCCAACCCCCTGCGAAAAAGCCGCGAAAATTCTGGCCCGCCGAGAAATCCGCGCGCCGCGGCCCCCCCCGAAAGATTCGCGCACCCCTGCCTCCCGCGACAAAGTCGCGAGACTCCGGGCGATCCGCACTTCCGCGCAACATTCGCGCGTTCACACCCCCATGCGCCCCCCTGAATTGACGGGAAGCCCGGCCCCCGAAGAAAATGCGAGAGTCCGCGGCCCCCGCGTAAAATTCACGAGGGCCCCGACCTCCCGCGCATCGCTCGCGAGAGAGCCCCCCTCGCATCTGCCCCCTACCCTTCGCCCCCGCTCCCGCCTCCGGAGGCGAACGCGCCTCCGCGTGCGAGGATCTGCACCCGCGGAAAGGGCGCCGGCGGTAAACCACCCATCAAAGTTTTGCAGTTCGCAAAGCCACAGACCTGACTTCAGGCCCGCTCGCGTCTCGCCATGCCAGCCCGAAACTCACGCGGCCACCAATTACAGGCGCTTGCAGACTGACGCCCAGCCAACGTAATTGCGCAAGAGGAGGACGGAGGCGGGAACAGAAACGGAAGGGGAGAGTCAAAAACAAGCGCAGACCAGCAAAGGAAACTGAAAAAAAACAACCCTGGCAGGAAAACAAATACACAAAAAACTCAAAGGTAAGACAACCAGCAACATTGCGCGGAAGAGTTAAGAACAAGTACAAAGATGAACAGAAACGAGAAGTACTCAACGGCAGCCATCACCAGAGGCAGCAACACCTCTCTGAGCTTGTAGAGCAAATCTGATTGCGACCATCCCAAGTGCGCGGGCGCGGCCGCGAAGACCCCAAGCGCGCACGGGACGACATCTGCTGCAAGTCTACACAGCACCGATGCCAGCAAAGTCCCAGCCGACTCGTAGACCAATCAGTCATATAAAGGTAAAACAAAAAGAGACTCAGGGCACATGCATCAGCAACGCGTTATCCACCTTCGGTCGAATCACGAATCTGCCCCCCTGGACCGCTTCCACTTCTCCACTGCTTTGAAACTGCTGAACCACTGGCCCGCTGCTTGCTTCGTCGCGATTTGCGTTCACCTCACGATAACTCGCGCCCACTCTTGAGCAGGGACCGACCGTCCCAGCATTCCTATAGTCCTAAAACGAAATGTTCTTTGAACCCAAAAATGTCCTACGAACAATAGCAGTGCCCTTAGAACATTAACCCGATGTGTTAAACCAAGACAGTCCCAACAAGAAATGTTCCAAGAACATGTCGTGGAAACCACAAGAGGTTCTGGGAACATTGTTTGGTAGGGCTACAGGCGAGCCAGGACGCTTCGCCACTGCTTGACACACGCCCATGGAGGCCACAATATCATCCAGGGCCAGACGCACCTCCCGAGCGTCTACCCAGGATGAACCTTCACCAAAATCGCACGGCAGAGTCGTTCCATGTCTTGGAAAGAAGGGTGGGCATTCCTACAACTCATATCCTGCCATGCTCCGGCCGATCGCGCGGACATCCATTGACGAACGAAGTCGGTAATATACCGATGCCCATGCCACTGAGAAGCGTTATGTTAAAAGGTCGGAACCGATCGCTTGAACGAGCACCGCTCCGTCTAAGAACCATGGGCCTCAGACGAGCTTGGATCGACAGCAACAAATGATAACGACGGTGATAGGCGAGCGTCGATGTCGAGCCACTTCGCCGCGATCCGGCAACGAGCCTGCCACCACCGCAGCGCGCTGCCACCCGTAGCGCTCTGATGGGGCAGTGGTAAGACGAGTTCGGGCTGCTCGCAACTCACTCCAGCATCTTCAGTCTGACATATGCGCAGCATCATTTGAGGCAACATTGCATGTGACATCAGAATCTGCCGTGGAAGAAGGGCCCCCCCCCACCTCCTTCGAAGCTACAACTCTCGAAGAAGCACGCTCAATAACAAATTTGCGACGCGAAAAATCCCCCCAGCTCTGTCGAGGGCACGCCCTTCGAAGAGACAGGATCCATCGATATCGAACCCCGCGAGGAAACATGCGAAGCAACATATTTTCTTTGAACTGCTTGTAGCCACATTTGGAGATGCACTCGTTGAGCGCGACGCAACACTTAGAGAAGCACTGCGTGCACTCGCCTCCTTCGACGCCGCCTCAAGCTCTTCGACCAGATCCAGAAATCTGACAACTCTGGCCGGATGGGTCACCAACATCGAAGAAACCACATTGCAAGGAGCGCCCCAGTTCGCACTTCGCCCTGGACACGGGGTTTGGGAAATAACTGAAGCCTGGCGGTCGAAATCTGTCTGAACCCCAACAGCGACAATCTTATGCGAAGGCGCAACAGTGGATACAGCGAATCCGAAATCGCGCCTCCCACATCTGCTGAGCATAAGTCTTCCGGAGAGACAGGATCAGCTGCATTCCCAGCCCCGGTGGAGGAGTGGGCACGCACTTCTGCCCTTGCCAGACATAATGCACAAGAGAAGCCCCAATTTTCCCCGCATCCCACTCGTCTGAAATTAACGAGTTTCAGCATAATCAGAGACCTCCTCTTCGAGAGAGAGAGAGAGAGAGAAACACGCAACAACGCATCAAGAAACACGCACCGCGGCGGCGCCGCGCGAGCCAAGGGGAAGGGCGCACAACGCACGATGCATCACAAGAAGCAATCTGAAAGGCGCGCACAACAAGCGGAAGCACGACTCACAGAGAGGGAGAGGGCACAGTCAGGGGAAACCAAAGATGTGCACCTCAGAAGCAGGAGGCCCCCAGCAGCAACACAGGCGCCTCTACATAATGACGCTGGGCTAAGCTCTCGAGGCTGCAGACTGCTGCTGTCGACGCTGCTGAATGGGCCGCTGCAATCGAGTGCTCGCGCTGCTCTAGATCTTGAGTTTCTCGGGAAGAACAGCGCAACGCTGCAGGACAGTTGAGGCCAGATCTATCTTTTGTTCGATCATAGCTCTAGTTGCAGACTGAGCTGAGGCACCTGAAAATTGAGGACCGAAGCAACTGGTCGCGTCCGCGTGCGCCAACAAGCAGAGCGTTTGACTTATGTTGACTCTCGGAATTTTAATCAGGAGCTATTCGATCGAACACAAGCGGTTGCATAGTGATACTAAGTTTGTTCGGTCAGAGCTCTAGTAGCAGGCCGAAGCAAGTAGTCGCACCCGCCTGCGCGAGCAAACAGAACTCTGAATTCAAAATCTGGCAATGTGGCTCAATCAGAATTCGATATTGCCAAGTAATATTAATATGTCGATCATGGCTCGAGCCAGCGTCTCTGAGAGTGAGGAGGGACAATGTGTCGGTCGCAGCAACATACACACGCGCGCAAAACTCTGAGCCCGCCCTGAGCCCCGACATTTCTAAATCGAAACATTTCGA